CATCTATATTTATATGTTCTTTCTCATCATGACCTTCGTTGTTTATTTATACTGTCCTACAGATCTCTAGCGTTCGTGAGCAGTGTAGTCGGCTAGCACCACAACTCTCCTGACGTCATCACCTCACTGACCAATAACGTGCCATGGTTGTTTTACTTAGGATATTTTTTGTAACACACAAGAAAATTCCGAGAAGCAAAAAAGGAAAAAATAATATATGCCGTCATCTTATTGGAAGGTTCTTGGCATAGCTGGGTTTAGCTTGGCCTGCGCAGCTCTCATTAAAATAGTTTCGACACATTACTTAGCAAGAAGTCCAGTTTTATGAGCAGTTACATGAGCAGGTCGACGTCTTAAGGTGGTATAGAAAGACTCGGTTAGGCAGCATCCAGAGAGAGAGATTCAGCATTATTATTATTTTAAAGAGGAATTAAATAAGCAAACGAATCGATGTGTTTCGAGACGGGTTCGTTTATTGATCCGAAGCAGGACTTACAAACAACCCCCCCCAACACACACATCCGAGATGAGCGCCAACACATACTTCTGAAGCACATCTCAGAGCAAACGAAACGCTGTGTGTGTGTGTGTGTGTGTGTGTGTGTGTGTGTGTGTGTGTGTGTGTGTGTGTGTGTGTGTGTGTGTGTGTGTGTGTGTGTGTGTGTGTGTGTGTGTGTGTGTGTGTGTGTGTGTGTGTGTGTGTGTGTGTGTGTGTTCTCTTAAATATGATTCTTTTTTGATCTCACGTTCTGTGAAACTCAATTATCTTATGCCTAGGCTTAGAAAATGAGCCCCATCCATCCGAGACCAAACCGTGGTATTAATTTCACTCGAACAGATAACAGCCATTCTGGAGAGGCCGGTCAATCCCTGTCATTTATTATCAGATAAGAAAACACCGGCTTATTTAGTGAACGGTCGATAGTTAATTGTAAAATACTCGATACCTGTACCTGTAATCACCTTGATGTTGTTTGTGTTTATTAGTTACATGAAGGTGAATGGGAGATGTTTATTACTTGTTGATATCCAGTTAGTTTTTAGTTTAAACTTTGTCTTAGTTTGATGTTATTTATGTGTGTTTTTATTATCTCTTTACGTCCCTTCTTCTATTCATTACTCTCCCTCTTCTTTCTTCCTTATTTATCCCCATTCACTCCTTATCTTCCCCTCCTTCACTTCGTTTTTACTCCCACCATCACTCTCCCCGTTCATACCTTATACGTTCTCCTTGTCCCCCCCTCTCTCTCTCTCTCTCTCTCTCTCTCTCTCTCTCTCTCTCTCTCTCTCTCTCTCTCTCTCTCTCAAGTCCTTATTCTCGTGAGCCATCTATCACTTCTATCCTTGTTCCTTTTCATCCGTAAACAATAGCCTCATCCTCAATACCAAGACCGGATTGAACTACCTTGATTAGGCAAAATTGTACTTCAATCTTGTCAATAAAGCTGTTAAATCTCTCTCTCTCTCTCTCACACCACTCCTTCCAACCCTTTCCCTTCTTTCCTCTCACTTCCATCTCCCCCTTTTACCTACTTACCTACCTGCTTGTGTCTCTATCTTAACCTTCCCCCCTTCCTCCTCCCTCCCTTCCTTCCATAACCCTTCCAAAGAGCAGGTAGATAAAAGGGAAGGTCGAGAAAGAATACATTGTTGGGAGTGAGATGAAGCACACGAAGGAGAGTAGAGAGAGAGAGAGAGAGAGAGAGAGAGAGAGAGAAGAAAAAAATATATATAACCCCCCAAAATTTCCTCCCCTCTAGCCTTGTATGGGACGAGCCGGGAACCATTTGTTTCAGCGTTAAAAGCATCGACCTTTTTATCATATTGAAAAGTTTGGAGCAGAAAAAGGCGCTATTCATTTCCACGCTACGCTATCGACGGCTCGCATTTTTCTTTGTCAGCCGTGACGTGCACAAATAACTCTCCATTATTTACACTGCGAGCTGTATATGACTAGAAAGTGGAGACCGGCCTGGGGAGGAGGAGGGAGGGGGGGGGAAGAAGAGACGGAGGAGGAGTATTTGGAATGGAAGGGAACGGGGAGGGAGAGGGAAAAAGATGAAGGAGGGTGTGGAAGGGGAGGTGAGAGGAGGAGGAAGGGGAAGACGAAGAGATGGAGGAGGATATGGAAGGGTGGTGAGGGGTTGAGGAAGAAGGGGAAGAAGAGGAGACGGAGGAGGAGTATATGGCATGGAAGGAAACGGGAGAGGAGAGGGAAAAAGATGAAGGAGGATGTGGAAGGAGGGTAAGAGGAGGATGAGGAGGAGAGACAGAGGAGGGAATGAGAAAGAAAGAGACGGGGGGGAGGAGTAGGAGGGAAGAACCAAAGAAGAGAAGTATACAGAAGGGAAAGGAAGATAAGAGAAGATATACATGAGAGTGGAGTGAAAGTATGGGTGGAAAAGAAAAACAGAAGAGTACGAAATGGAACGAGATAAGAGATACAGAATGATAAATAGAATGAATGGAAAAGAATCATGGGAAAGGTGTAGTGAGTGAAGGTTTGAAGAATGGGGAAGAGAGATTGTTAGGTTAGAAAAGATGGGATGGAATAGTATCAAGGAGGTAATGGAGCATAGCTGAATGGAATGGATGGAACGGAAGGCAATGGAACGAAGGCTAAGTACTCCGGAAGCAGCGATTTGATGCACTGGAATAGACAGACTTGGGATAGGTAGATAAATAGCAGGCGCTGGAACGGAAAAGGAGTGTATGAGGAAGAGGGAGGGGGAGAGAGGAAATGATAAGAATAGATAGTTGTTGAAGGGAAGTGCTGAGGCGTGGATAGGGATTCTGAGTTGAAGGATGCAATTGTCTTGGGAAGGGAAGGGAAAAGGGGAGTTGGATTGTCGCAGAGGATAGGGAAGAGAAGTGTGGAAGTGGATAGTCATTAGATAGAGAATAGGAGAAGTGAGATACTTATTAAGGATAGAGGAAAGGCGTTATTACGAATAGGTAGAAGGGTAATGTGTGGAATAGTAGTACTCTAGGAGTGGTTGTGGTGGTGGTAGTACTCTGGGGTAGTGGTGGTAGTGGTAGTACTCTGGGGTAGTGGTGGTAGTGGTAGTACTCTGGGGTAGTGGTGGAGATGGTAGTACTCTGGGAAGTGGTGGTTGTGGTAGTACTCTGGGTGGTGGTGGTGGTAGTACTCTGGGGAAGTGGTGGTGTGGTAGTACTTTGGGGTAGTGGTGGAGATGGTAGTACTCTGGGAAGTGGTGGTGTGTAGTACTCTGGGTAGTGGTGGTGGAGATGGTAGTACTCTGGGGTGTGGTGGTAGTGGTGGTACTCTGGGGAAGTGGTGGTGGTGGTAGTACTCTGGGGTAGTGGTGATGGAGATGGTAGTACTCTGGGAAGTGGTGGTGGTGGTAGTACTCTGGGGTAGTGGTGGTGTGGTAGTACTCTGGGGTAGTGGTGGTAGTGGTAGTACTCTGGGAGTGGTGGTGGTGGTAGTACTCTGGGGTGAGTGGTGGTGGAGATGGTAGTACTCAGTGGTGGTTGTGGTAGTACTCTGGGGTAGTGGTGGTAGTACTCTGGGGAAGTGGTGGTGGTGGTGAGTACTCTGGGAAGTGGTGGTGGTAGTACTCTGGGGAAGTGGTGGTGGTGGTAGTACTCTGGGGTAGTGGTGGTGGTGGTAGTACTCTGGGGAAGTGGTGGTGGTGGTAGTACTCTGGGGTAGTGGTGGTGGTGGTGGTACTCTGGGGAAATGGTGGTGGAGATGGTAGTACTCTGGGGTAAGGGCCAATGATGCTGGTAGGGTAGTTATGAGGGGGAATCACAACCAAACATCACAGGGTGTCATTACTATAGCGTAGATATTTCCGATTCGCCCTCTCGTGTACAGCTGCTTTACAAGGGAAGCTGTAACACTCAATTGTGATTAAGTAATACAATTTATATATATGTAAACAAATTCTACCTAATACGAATAAGTGAATGGATGTTTAGTTGTATCTAATTAATCAATTCAATTTTCAATTTCAATTGTTTATTCCTTGATAGAGGAAGCGGGATCCTAGTGCTGTCACTAGGTACTCCTGTACAATGACACCAGAATCATCTGGCAAGTGTGAAAAGTATATACAGTATAAATATTATAAAGGGGCTTACTAAAGCCTAAGGAAGGAAGGATATTCCTTTAACACATAATCAATATTATTTACAAAATAGCTGGCCAGTATGGGGAGGATCATCGTGTCTCCGTCAGGGGGTCGTTCTAATTAATCTCTATATAATTATCACCAATTGTTATATCCACAATAGATGTTATTTTTACTCAGTCTTAATGTTTGTGTAGTTTCTTTTGTGTGATCATTCTTTCCAGGACGGTAATGAACAGTGTTCGTCCAGGTTAGTGAGGTTGTAGGCCTGGCAGGAGGAGTCACGACCAAGTGATAATGACATGGGGAGAAGAGGAGGGACTGGTAGGTGGAGACTGGAGTGGCCTGGGGAGACTGGTTTAGTAGGTTGGGGGAGACGAGTGGGGTGGACTGGGGAGACGGGTGGGGGTTGACTGGAGAGACAGACACCAGCAGACCTCCCCTCCACCTCTCTCTCTCTCTCTCTCTCTCTCTCTCTCAGTGGTGTGTCACAACAAACTAATGAATCGTTCCATCATTTACTTTTGGCTGTGTACGACGCCCTTTTGTGAACTCTTGCCATCACCTCTCTGTCTTGTGGGACGCGGAGAGGGGGGGGGGAATAGACCAACCTTTTCTCCTTGGTAGGACTCGTAGGCGGCGATAGGATGGTACTTCATTATTATAGAAGGATTCGGATACTCAGGATAGAATCGAAAAGGAGGGTAAATGTATTTTAGTCGTAGGATTCTGACTAAAGAAAGGATGTTGTGAGGATTCTTGTGAGGGAAGATAAGACAGTCTGTGTGTGTGATGTACATAGAGGCTGGTGGAGGAGGTTGTACTTGAGCTATTTGGTAGGATTCAGATTTGGAAAGACGATGAAAAGGAACAATATTAATGTTAGTTCTATGATCGTTACAGGGTCACTAATAGTCCCTTGGAGTCAGCAGAGGTCAGTCCCTCAGATTAATACTATCATACACGGGCGGCATCTGTTACCAGGGTCAGGGGAGGAGAGTCCTGAAGGTCAGCCTGCTTACAAAGGTCAGTGATTATATTTGTCTTTTTGAAAGTTTGTTCTTGAAGGTCATTGGTCGTAAAGGAACCAATAGCGTAAAGCCTCCTCAGTAGGTCAAAAGGGACGGGAGTGTCGTGCAGGTGACCCGTCGTTTGTCAGACCACGCTCGTCTCCAAGACATGACGATGAGCGATGGTGACGACGACTATACCCGGGTCGTGTGTCGTAGGTGTGGTCTCGTCGAGCTGTGACACGCACCCTAAGGCTCACGTAGTATTCTTCTCCTTCCGGGTAGTTTAAATCTTACATCTTTCACGGTGTTTGAGTATTTTAACCTATCGTACAAATAATCGTATGTGTTGCGCTGGTCTAATGCCATCACCGGGATATGAACCGTAATTATTGAATGATACATTATTGGACTCGTGTATCTCGCCAGGTTGTGTGTGTCTGTGCGTGTGTGTGCGTGCGTTTTTTTTAGGCCGATTATTTCCGGGTTAAGCGACGGTGCCACGTCTCAACACCGTGAAGATGGTTGTGGTGTGGTCTTAGTTTTTAGTAATATACCCTTCAATTTGTGCTCATTTTATGCGCCTTGTTATGGTGTTTCATACTGTATAAACCCCAGATAATTAATGGTGCTCTTACCCCTAACATTCTCTTACATCTTGGTGTTGGCAGTGTGTATTGGTCGACGTCTATCACCATCCTTTACCACCACCATCACCATCCTTTACCACCACCATCCTTTACCACCATCATCACCATCCTTTACCACCACCATCCTTAACCATCACCATCCTTCACCATCACCATCCTTTACCACCATCATCACCATCCTTTACCACCACCATCCTTAACCATCACCATCCTTCACCACCACCATCACCATTCCTTACCACCACCATCCTTTACCACCATCATCACCATCCTTACCACCACCATCAACCATCACCATCACCATCACCATCCTTTACCACCATCATCACCATCCTTTACCACCACCATCACCACCATCACCATCCTACCACCACCATCCTTTACCACCATCATCTACCACCACTATCACCATCCTTTACCACCATCATCACCATCCTTACCACCACCATCCTTAACCATCACCATCCTTCACCATCACCATCCTTCACCACCACCATCACCATCCTTACCACCATCACCATCCTTTACCACCATCACCATCCTTTACCATCACCATCCTTCACCACCACCATCACCATCCTTTACCACCACCATCACCATCCTTTACCATCACCATCACCATCCTTTACCACCACCTTCACCATCCTTTACCATCACCATCCTTCACCACCACCATCACCATCCTTTACCACCACCATCACCATCCTTTACCACCACCATCCTTTACCACCACAACCACCACCCACTCCCACCATCACCAACCACATCTACCACCACCACACATCCCCTTCTCATTACTTCAGCTGCCACGTCCCTCTCGCCCTCCTCTCTTCCTCTTCTTCCTTCCCCTCCTCCATTCCTCCCTTTCTTCCTGATCCTCCCCTTCTTTTTCGTTTTCTTCTATTTTTACTTCCCTATCAAGAATCCATACTCTTCGATTCTCCTGTCTCCTCCCCTTCCCTTATACCCTTCCTCCCAGTCCCTTCTGCCCCTCCTCCCAATTCCTCCCGTTTCTCCTTCTCCCCAACTTTTTCCCCTTCCCCCTTCCTCCCATTTCCTCTTCTGCCTTTTCTCCTTTATCCCCCCTTTCCCCCCACTTCCCTCCTTTCCAAATTCCTACTCTTCCTTCTTCCTCCACCCCCACCTCCCCTCTTTCCCCCTCCCCTCCCCCCTTTCCCCCTCCTACACCCTTGCCGCCTCTGACCACAAGTTTCAAGAAGGCGGAGTCGGAGCACCATCCTTCATTGAATAACAATACGCGAGCAATGCCCGGTGCCATCCTTCACCGTGCAACAAAGCGTGTGCAGCGTGTCCGTCAGTGTGTGTGTTGGGGGAGAGGGGTGGCTGGCCTGTGCAATGGCCGATGTTGAGCATGTAGCCGATAGTATTGCACATGATCCATCGCCACGCTTGGGATTTTAAGGGGAGGATTGGAGGGGCTGGTGGAACAAGGCCGAGTCACTATGGAGGCCTTTGTTGGTGTGTGTGTGTGTGTGTGTGTGTGTGAGGGGCTGTGTTGCTGATGGGGGGTAGGCGGGCATACACCTACCCCTCCCTCCCTCCCTCCCTCCCTCCCTCCCTCCCTCGGCCCCCGCGGTGAGAAGGCGCTGGTGTCCTTAACACGCTGGAGGATGCGGCTGTCGAAGGAACTTTTTTACGGAGTGTTCAAATTATTGTGACACTATAAAGGACCCTGACATAGTGCACTCTTACTGAAGTACGTCATAGATTTTATATTCTTGAAATGTCTTATTTTTATGCTGAATTAAAGTTTTTATTTCCGGATCTACAGAGAGAACGTTATTGTGAACAAACGGCGGCGTTGAAATCTCCGAGTTTGGAGAAAAATGGCTTTCAACCTACGTCAGTTTAGCGGTCTGTCTGACCTGTACAGAATGTTTTCATTAAGAGAAGACTGCAGTAAACCTCACACAGGGTTTGTTTACACTGGTGAGCTATTTAGGAAGTGCTGATGTTCTGAACCTTCCTTACGACTTACCATTCAACACACCTCCCGGTACACGCCCATTCCTTCCTCCACCTCCCCTTCTCATACAATAACCCCTCCTTCCCTCCCCCCTCCCCTAGCATACCTTACAACAGCCCTCCTCCTTGCCATTCCTAAATATACATTGCCGTCCTCCCCTCTTCTCTGTGCTCCCGTCAGAAGCTTGGAGTTTGACCCCCTTCATATTATTACCCTTTGGTTCTTGAGTAGGTCCCCCTTCACTGGGTCGTGGAACATCGCGGCGTGTGTCAACATGGCCCCTCACCTTTGATGATAAGCTCTCTCCTTCCCCTCAAGACCTGCGACTATCAAATGAGACCCATACAAGTTGTGACGTCAAGTGAATCTCTCGGCAGCTGCTTGTACGTCCGGGACGCCTGAATTACTGGCGTCGAAATTTAAAGGAACGTTAAGGGTGTTTATTTCTGATCAGAGGAGCTGGGTGGCTACACCTCTTGGTGGTGTTACTCAACTCTCCCAAGTCCTCTTTTCTTCATTTTACTTATCCTATTTCTTTTTTATGTCCTCTTTTATGTAGCTTACCTTTTTCTTCATTTTTTCTCACCCTCTTTTCCTTTAGTTCTTTTGTTTCTCATTTCTTCTCCTTCCTTAGAATTGGCCTTCTCCAGCTTTCCTTCCTGATCTCTCTTTCTATTTATTATTATTCTTCCTCTCCGTAAATCGGGTTCCTACCTTCTCCATCTTGAAAATTTTCCAACATATGGTTAGAGGGACCAGGACCTGGATCATCTGTGACTCGGGACTCCACCACACCTCCCCGGGGTCACCAAATACACGTCGACTTTCAGAACTCAGAGAATCATAAGTTAGCTTATTTCAGCATTAAGTATCATTAAACAACGGGCATTAAACAATTAAACTGTAGGAAACCCCAACAAATAGTCGTACCACAGCAACAAAATAGTCTCTAGTATGCCTAAAGATATTCTATTAAACTCGTACGACAGTTAATATCCGCGATAACTGTGTCCCTTAATTAGCTCTAAGATAGCCCTGAAACAAGCATTACACCAGTCATAGTCCACGATAGACTGTAAACGAGCTTATCTGACGAGTGTGTCTTGTGCCAAACTGCGGGAGTTGAGGCCACTGTCGCAGGCCAGAGCTGTCACCGACGCTGCGGTCGGCCCTAACACAACACGGGAAATGGGGCGGCCGCATGTTGCATTTGTCAACGTTGCAGAGGTAATAACCTATATACGCGACTGGCTTTCTACACAGTCGCCTAAGTGGATGTATCCGTGGTGAGAGAGAGAATAGTGGGGAGGGGGGGGGGAGAGTGGGGGGAACGACGAAATGATGACATTAAGTCAAGACAGAGGTACTTGCCTGTAGGAAGGCCCACAGTGGAATAGTGTTTAAACAAGATATTCGGAGATGATCAGCCCAATAATTTGGCAGACATCTTCAGGCAGGTAGACCCTTCGACACGCATCTTCCTCTGGACTGACATTCAACGGAAATCATCTGATAACATACGCCCTAACATCACTCTACATAAACCGTTTGTCACATGCCGTCGACCGAGGTATCTGGATCTCTCTCCCTTGGTATTGAGCTGTAGGTCTAGTTCCCGCTGGTGGTAAATGACGCTGCGACTCGGTTCTGGCAGAGTTCCACCACCGGGGTTAAAGAGGATTAATTGTCTAACTAATCCTGGAGCAAACAGCCCTGGATGTTAATATTATCCAGGCCGCGAGCCGTAAGTTATCCCGGCCGAGGAAAGGGAGGAGAGACCACGATTTATCAGTCAAGTTTAGCCGAGGAGCTGCTGCCATTTGACGATGGTGTGGTGAGCCATCTGGCGGTGGAGCTACAGTACACAGCTAAGTTTCTTAAGCTATCTGATGGTGGAGCTACACAACTAACTGGTGAGCTATATGTTGGTGGAGCTACGCAAATAACTAGTGAGCTACCTGGTGGCGGGGCTACACAACTAACTAATAAGCCATCTTGTGGTGAGGCTACACAACTAACTAGTGAGCCAACTGGTGGTGGGGGTGTACAACTCCTTTTTGTGGGGTAAAATCATCTTTGAGCAACATACCGTCCATGTCGTAATATAAGGTTGCTTGGATTTACCGAAGATAGTGTAATAACCTTTGCTATGTAAAGTCCGAGATTCATTTTCGACCACTTCTTCCTCTGCTCTTTTTTTCAACTTTTTCTTTTCCATAATCCTCTACTTGGCATCTTATCTGCCTCCCTCCTTCATTCCCTCTTATTCCTTTGTGCTATTTCTCCCATTACTCCATATTCTTCCACTAATCCTTTCCCCCTAATCATCAGTCTTACCCTTTAGTCGTTTACAATCTTCCATCAGTCTTCCCTGAAATA